GCAATAAAAACAGATCAAAATMAATCAGACCTGTCCCATATTAAAATCTTATAAATTACACTTTAAAGTAATGAATGAAAACATTTGATTTTATCATTTCAAACATTTATTAGATTTAAACTGTTTCATTTTTGTTTTGTTTTTTTCTTATCTTCCCTGCAGCTTTCTAAGGCCCCACTTTGAAAAACCYTGGTTTAATCTATATAACCATTTAAGAAAGCCTCACACTGTCCCTTTCTAAAAAACACTCGTCTTCTTGACCTCTTATCACACATAGTTATGATGCTGTGCTACAAAAAACAAAGGTGGRCAAATGTTTTTGTTGCCAGTTACTTTAACAGATATTGGCCTGTTGTACAGTAGTAGCTGAGACTGAGCCTCGACATATGTTCTAAGGACTAACCAATCGCTTTAGTTGAACTCAGTCCAAAGAGTCTTTGGATCGAGTCGTTTGCACGAACCCAAACTTCTGTCAGGCAGCAGCACTTTTTCTTTTAAAACAGGGCTAATAACTCACACCCCATGCTACAAAAGCTGCCCCCTCCAACACCCTTTTATGATGCTGAGCAGAGGGACTCCAGCACGGACTCAAGGACACTGGAGGAGGGAACAGACCAAAACAAAACAAAACAAAAAAGAACAAATAAATAAGAAGTAGAGAGAAAAGCAGACGGAAGTGTGAGGGGGGAAAAGAGCGTCCATAAATTGTAGCTGGGTGCAGAGCTGCAGGGAGGGCGTAGCAGCCTGATGAATAGAGCCATCAGCTTAAGCAGAGGCTACAGAGCAGCCTGCCATCTGCCTGCCCATTACTAGAATAAAGTACATGACAGTCTGCACTCATCTGCAGGCCCCACTGGCATCCACAGCAAGCAGAACCCTTTCTCTTTATGAATGGCTCTGGGTTTTCCCACTCCTCCTTGAGCTGCCCCGCGCCTAAACATCAACACTAATTCAGTCACGTCTCTTTCTGAATGTTTAATTYGCGTAGATCAAGGCGCCGGCCGCGCACATGTGTTTATTTGGCRCGTATTGCACGAAAAATCGTGTGTCGGGAGAGGGACGAGTGGCAAGGCGAGGGCAGCCCTCGGAGAAGAGTTACAGCAGCTTGACAGACGCTTCACACCTCATTGGCAAAGGAGGAGAGCCAATCACGGCCAGCAGATCCGCCCCTCAGGCTCCCAAAGTCTATTCTTCATTATCCTCGATGAGTTAGAGGGAGCGAGGGACGAGAGGGAATGGGTGGAGGGGGGAAAAAGTTTGAATAGGAGCAAAGGGAGATGCAACAAAATGAACAAAACAAGTGGAGTAAATGCAAAATGTAGCAGCTCAGACACACAGGAGAGCCAGTTTGGGGGGAAACTCTAAAGGGAAAAGCAATTCTTTCCTCCGAGAAGGTCATTACATCAAATGTGGTTAGTCATTCTGATAGAGGATGTTGTCTTGTGTGCTGCAGAGTTAAGAGCATTCTCCTTTTTTTTTTCCTAATTTAGCTTCTTTAAAGAACGTCGGTACGGTGAGAYGAAATATAAAAGCACTGAAATGGAWTTGTAGCTTTAAGTGGATCCCAGCACAGGAACTGGTGTTGGTGGGAGGGACAAAGTTGCACTTTTAAAGCCAAGGTGGTAACAACAMGCAAAGCGTGGTGCAAAATGAGTAGATTCTAGAGCTCGTAGCTCAAATGCATAAAGTGGAGAGAGGGTTGCTAAAAAATATGCACGCTATAGCAGGCCGCATTAATCATTTAGAATTGGGCTGCATAAAGTTAGTGAATGCAATTTCTTCAGCTGCTTTTCAGACAAGAACATCCTTTTAACTTTGCAGCATGACTCAATTTCTTAAAAAAAAACAAAACAAAAAACAGAAAGTACCACCGTTTGCTCAGTCTGCTTATTTTGTTTTCAAAGCACAACTAAAATCTCGCTGCCTAGATGTCTCCTCCCCTGCTCGACTCCTCGTTATGCTGCTATGAGACGTGCTGCTTTCAGCCATATGTGTCAGATCAGAAACGGAGAAGTCCCCTGTTCGTGAGTGTCGCTGACCTCTGGAGGTCTTCACTTTGTGCTCGTGGTAAAAGGAGAATTATCATAACAATCTGCATTATCTGGAGCAGAGATAATCGCGACAAAGAGGTTCTGGCAGGAGAAATAATGTGACTTGTTGGGAGGGGGGCACGAGTCATGATAGGTCTGTACACTTACATGCATAGATGACAGGAAAGAAAAGAATCAACAGACAGCAGGTTTACCTGAAGTAGTGAAAACTCCAAAGAGAGATAAAGTAAAAGCTGAAATTTACTAAAAATAAGTCACCGATTCAGGAAATAACATAATACTTATCAAAGAAGGGCCACTGAATTTAACATATTTGTATTTTTGGCTGGTATAGGTCCAACATACAATATTTACATTTATATCTTAATTTTGTCCAGTAGAATCAAGTTTAAAAAATTTTTTTGCAATTGATGCATAATTCATTACATCAAAACTAAAATCTTTACTTTAAGTTTAAAATATTAATAAAGTAACATGACTTCAAAATGATCAATCCTAACATGAAGCAACACTTAACAGTTGTAAAAATGGTTAAAATGTTAGATAATAATAATAAAAACAGCTTTATTTTGTATTTTGTGGACTCGTTAGTAGTTTTCGCTACATTTACATATCCAAAAAGAACAATCCAATTAGTTTTTCCTGAACTGTTGTTGATGTATTTGTTCAGACGTCATAAATGTAAAATGGGATTCCAAAACCTCAACAAATTAAAAGTTCGTTTCTCAAATAACAAATTTAAAAAAATCTGAAAAACTGAAAAGGCAAGCAGAAACAGAATGTGTCATTTAGAGAAATGTCTTAACATATTGTTAGTACTTTTGTGCAGAAATGTAATAATAAACATAATTCAGCTGTAATTAAACACTAACAATGTGAATCATTCAATTTTATTTTTCATTAGAATAAACCTCAACTTTGCATAGAAACTTAAAATAAATTCATGAGTGCATCACTGTTTTTTAATTTATCAGATAAACAAATAAACCTTTTCATTATGTTCTGTAAATTGCTCCTGCTTTCTATTCTAATAACCTGAGATCTATAAATCTTATAAAGACAAATGAAGATGAAAAAGGCAGAAGTGTCTGCACAGGTTATTAAATGCGTTTGGTTATAGTCCCTCTCATTAATCTCGATTACCTTTAGCTTGGAAAAGGAAAAAGCATGTCTGGTATCAGGTAAAGGTTACATGAGGATTTAACTCAGCTACGGTAAAGAAATGTCATTAAATATTATAATACACACTCATTTAGACTTCTTCTCATAATGGGAAAAAATGACTTTTTTAAAGTTCATCCACCACTTTTCAACCATCTAAAGAATTGTGTAGGTGTTTCTTGTTTTATACAAAAGAAAAAAGGAGCTAAAACAACCTTAGAATAAAAGGTTAGGCATAAAACTTACCATTTTGTGTATTAATACACCATTTGTAAGGTAATATTGCAAAAGCTTTTTTCCTCAAGAGAACCTGAGGTCATGTGTGCTGAGAAAAGTCACCATGTTGCCTATTTGTCATAGTTAAAACAATGTTTAATTGAATTATATTATAGTATGTAATCCCATTACACAGGACATTTAAATTGCTTAATTTCAGAGCAGTGGTCCTTGAAAAAAAATACACAAGAAAGGCATTGGTGAAAATGAAGTGCAGAGAAACACCTGCTGTGAACCTTGGTGTCCATTGACCAAAACCTTTAGAAAGCTCTCCCCTCACACCCACACTCAACTGAAGTCAATCCCTAAGCCCACAAGTCAAAAAGCAGAGAGACAGCTGACTGACATTAAGAGGCAGATTAGTCACAACAAATCACACGCATGCATGCACACACAGACACACACACACCCACGGCTCCCTCCATCACAAACTGTCCTCTTCTGATGCAGAATCAAGATAAGTTCTCTTTCACCATCACCCATGTTCACAACACGTTCAGACTGCAGCTATTACCAACGTTCAAACCTGCACCTCCCAATCCAGCAGACAGTTTGATTAAAAATTTTCAACTTTGAATCTGAAATGTAAAAAGTTTGATAATTCAATATCATCCTATAAGCAGGATTAGGCTGGGAGTCTGGGAAAGAAACAGAAGACTCCTTTTCCTTTTGAAACAATATATAGAAACTTCAGAAATATWCTTCGAATAACTCTAGATGTCCTTTGTTGTATAATATTATTTACACAATCAGGTGCAGTTGCTGTTGTGGAGATAAAAAAATAAAAATAAAAAGCGCTTGCAGCTCCAGCACAAAATCTGTTTCCATGGTTGGTAAAAACGATGCAGTCGTCCAATGTTGATGCGTTTGCTAATTTCAGTGCACGATGTAGTTCTGCAGAACATGGAAGCAGCTAATGCAGTAGAGGTCACCCATCTGCTTGATCTGTTTATTCCTAAAGCTTTCTGCATGTTAAAAAAAATCATGTTGCGACTGATATACACTAAAATGGTCAGCATGTTTGTTCCATTTAAAACCCAAAGACTAACTGCTTTTCTGTAATTTTACAAGATGAGACAGAAAGGTGGGCTAAGATCTGCAGCTTCGATGCCAAACTAGAGCCTACTTCTTTAAGCCTCTTTAACCTTACCAGTACCTTTTTCTAAWACCCAGAGAAACTATTAAAGGTTTAACCTAACCTTTAACCTTGGCACACCAGGTACTTACTCAACTAACTGTCCTATATAAATATAAAACTGTAAAACCAAGGTAAAAACTTATTTGTTGGGTTTAAAGCTCATAGCTCCTATCAAACCAGAAACAAACTAATGAATATTAATGAAAAAAAGTTCAACAACACTTSTGCATGGTTTTGCCTTTTATTTCTTCCGATGAGTTGGTGAATGCTGAACTCGATTGTATGAGTAACACAAAGTCACACAAATATAAAGAAACAGATGCACCATATACACTGTCCACACCAAGGAGCAAGGAAACTATAAACTATGGAGAACATAATAGGACTGACTTGTAACAATGTGAACACTTAATTTAACAGATAACTAATGTGAGTGGAGACTGATCTAAGGGACCCATGGCAGAGATTGGTTGGTTTTCTTGAGGTGGTTCCAGTCAACACTTACAGTAGATGGTCAAGCTCAACCTTATGGTCCACTTCTATATCTCCAAAGCATCAGACAGAATTACTGTTACTCTACCATCATCAGAGGAGAGACAGACAAAGGGAAAGAGAGGTAGAAAAGGATCTAAGGTATTATTTTCCTCTTCGTGTGCTCAGTGCCTCTAGTCTGGTTTGGTTCTCCAAAGGGTTTCGAAGGTGTGAGTCTTGGTGCTGACTCATCCTTTCGGCTTAGAGTGTCAGTCCGTCAATCAACAACCCCTTACAATATACTCTGCATTGCTCCTTCATTCGCTTTCTCATCCTTATCCCCCGGTCTTCAGCTTGTTCTGCAGAGAAATCAAAACAGAAAGTGCCTTTGAGAAGGAAAGGCAAAAAAATATATATATATCAAAACAGACAAACAGAAGAGAAAGATATTAGTTCACATATGAAAGAAGACACAAAGAGAGGAAGACTTGAGAGTACAATAAAAGAGAAGAGGATKAAGTGAGTTCAAGAAGCAGAGAAGGGACCCAAGGGCACTGGATTCCATATTAGTGATAAGTGCAACCACAAATCCCCAGCACTCCCTGTCAATAACCATTTGAACCAGCCTACTGCAGCAGATGCGACAAGAGAAGCACCTAAGAGAAAGATGAGCGAAAGGGGAGGAAAAAATGAAACAGGAGATATAAAACGGGGGAATAACATGGATAAAACGTAAGAAACAAAAATGCCCTTTTCCTCGGTGACCAACATTAAAACAGCATTGTCAGATCTCGCAAAAAGAATCTGAGTTTATTTTCCACACTAGTGATCCATCCATAAAACAAATATTAGGACGAGGAAATGCTCCAAGCATATCAACTACACTGTGGCAGGCAAGACAAAAAAAAAAGCAGAATTTGAGAAAAATATCTGGAAGATGGTTCCAATTACAACACATTATGAAGGGTCTTTAAATAACAAGAGGAACTAAAATCAATTCCTGCATAGTCGAAAATACTGAGGGGAAAATGAGCTTAGGGACTGCATCAGAAAGCTGTTGATAAAACCAAGCAATAGGCATGTCTCAAGACTGCCTTTATGTATTTATTTAAATAAATACATAAAGAGTTGGATTTCCTTCAAAAGCCTAAACTTACAATTTACAACATTTTCATCAGTTTAACCTTAATAATCTCTAAAATTAAACCCACCACAAAAAATGCCCAAAATTCACACCCAAATTAAATTATTAGATTCTGTTTTTCAACCTGTAGAGTACACGCAAAAGCTCGGTCTCTCACTAAAGGCAACACGATCCAATTTAATGTAACTACAACTTGTATGTAGATATAATAGGTAGAACACTCACACACACACAAAAAAACATCACAACAAATTACTTTTCCAGACATATTTTTTGTAAACGTGTTTTTAAGTCAAATGGATCCCAAATTCAAAAGGCTGTAACTCCTGAATGCCTCAACATCCAGTCTTAAATGAGGCTCTAATGAAAGCTATCTAGAGGAATCATGTTCTATAGCCACGTTCAAATGCTGCGTCTCAACTCAAGGGTTGCAGCCCACGTACGGTGCATTTGTCGGTCGCTTACATCACATATGCGGTATAAAAGATAACACCATGGTCACAGGGCAGTGTGTGGTCACGCAAACACCACGTCATCCTTAGACTAGACTTTCTCTTTCCACAGCCGTTTGTGCAGCCTACACAGGTGGCCTACGGCACACATAGGGTGTGGCCTACGTGGGTCATGGTCTACGAGGGCTGCAGCCCCTGAATAGAGACACAGCGACTGTTAGCATGACTGAAATGCAGTGAGTCATGCATAAACATTCAGAGAACACACAACAAAGAACCCTCCCACACAAATCTTACTCCACCAAAGAAGCCCCCCCATCACTCACTTTTATCAGACATGTACTCATCTGACAAATCCCTCTCCCTTCTCCTGACCAACTCCACCACCTCGGCACAACCATGTTTTCTCTTTTTGGCATGTTTTGCTATCTTTTAATTGGAAAAAAAGGAAAACTAAGTATTTTCTGCTTTCACGCATGAACGAACGCACAAACGCATCAGTAGGTTGCAATCTTTACAAGTGAACTTCCTGAAGTCCTTTTAGAACCCACCCCTCATGCAGCACAATGTCGTCATGGGACTTTGATTGGCCGTACGTTTGCAGAAACAGAATCGGCGTCAGAGCTGATAGGCTTGATCTGTTTGCAAAAGAGTATTTGTGTGGCCATTCAGATGACGTGATGCTCGGTGCTTATTATTGGCTCTCAGTCAAAAGTGGGCGCATACACAGCTATTTGTGGTATTCAAATTCAATTTAAGGGGTTAAAAGCAAAAACATGAATCAAGTCGATATTATCTGCATATCTGTGGAACTTTGAAGCTTTAGAATGCAACACAGAACTACTGGAAAAAGAGCTATGCATAACGATTACACTGGAGTAGTTCTTCATTCTAGTGCTCGCAAATATAACTGCCTGAAACCTCAAACGGGAATCCGGCACAGCCTTTTGAGAGTGACAGGGAGACGGAAGGGTCAGCCTTAAAAAATAAAGTGGGGAAGGAAAAGATAGGGAGCAAAAGGCAGTCATGCAGCGAGAATATGGAATGAGGTGGCGAGCAGTGGATAGAGAGATCAGCCTCAGTGATAAACTCCTATTCACTGAGAGAGAAGAGTAAGAAGGGAGAGGAGACTTTATCTGTCCTCTGGCCGCCTCGTTCTCCCCGTTTGCTATCGGACCTGTTAAAAGCCGAATGCATTAGAAATGTGACTTGGGATGGAGGGATGGCGGACGGAGGGAGAGAAGGAAATATGGTGGCGGGGTAAGGGGAGGACAAAAGAGAGCAAAAATGGGTCTAAATGTTATCACTGACTGCTGTGATAAGAAGGCTAATTATCAGTGACAAAGGCCAGACAGCTGACAATGCGTCTGTCTTGGCTGATGCCATCTGAGGGGTCAGCGCTGCAAAACTGTGATGTTGGGGACTGGACTCTTCTCCACGATGAGATGGCATCTTATTTACACCGATGTGCAGATTTGCGTCAAATTTAGGCTTTGAAGAGTGAGCAAAGATGGAAAAGAGAAAACTCTTTCAGGATATCTTTTGTTTCAGACTGAGAGGCCAAGAGGTGACTGTTCTCGGATATGCTGACCTCTAAAGCTAAAAGTCGTGTCCTTTTGGCATTTGTTCTTGAAACAGCTTCCTGTTCAGCGCCGATAAAGCTGCATAAACATCCTAATCATGAAGCTGCATCGGCTCAGATCAAACCTTCTTCACTGTTCCCCCCCGCCTTTTCGGTTTGCTGTGTAATTCTGCACGTTATTCCTTTAAAGCCTTATCATAGAACTGTCTCTTTTTCACCTAATGACTTTAAAAGCAAGTCTTAAGACCAGATAAGCACAGATGAACAGGAGTGCTCTGTGATTGCTGGCGGCTGATAAACACAAGCGGATTACCATACCGTCTCAGGCCTGCTTCCAAAACAATTTAAAAGATCATAAGAGCTTGCAGAATGTGAATATATACCCTTACTGAATCTCGACTAGGGTGCAGGTAAGCTTTTTTTAAACGCGCACACAAACACACACAAACGCATGGTGTCCACGCGATGAATAAAACATTGTGCAATTTACATGATGTATAGCTCAAAAATCTGCCTGCATCTGACTTTTAGATCTAATACTAATACCCACGAGAGTGACCGGGAGACGCAAAACTCAGTTTCCTCCATTTCCCGGAAAACAATGCAATTGCAAAAAAAAAAAAATCTAATAGAAAAGCTCCATGAATGCAAATTGAGTCTTTTTGGGGGGGCAATGGATGTTACATATTGCAATGTGAGAGAAGGGAAATCAAGTTAATATCAACCTGAGTGACATTACTAAAACTGTACTGTTTTGACTGCAGGAGGTGGAAAGTGAAAAAAACATTTGCGTTCAGTAATGAACAGGGAAAGCACAGGAGGATGATGATGTCCAACCGGTAGCTGCTGCTCTCTTGGACTTATTACATTAAAAACACACAGAGAAACAGTCAGGGGAACACATGTGTCAGCAGGTATTATGGAAATAGACTGTAAGGTTCAAACTGGCTATTTAAAGGACGCTTCATTCAGGCGCCAGCAGCCTGCTGGAAATTATGTTCTGCAGTCTAACTGCAAGCAGCAGAGATGTGTATTGTAAATAGATGCTGGTGTGTATGTATACAAAGTATGTAAACAATGGAACAATCTGGTGTACTTTTCACACATTTTCTATGAACCTAGTGACATTTGCTGCAGCTATCAGACACATGGGGCTACTTTTATAATATACACTAATTTTACACCACATAATTCTACAACAATAGGAACTTACATATTGCCTGGCCAGGAAGGTACGTGCATTTGCTTGTCATTCTTTCAAAAGGGGAAAAAATGGTTATTTGGAATTGTTTAAAAAAAACTTTTTTAATGTTCACTTGCTTTTATTTTGACATTTACAGAAAGATCCATAAAATGGTAATGGAACTCCAAGACAATGGTCTGTGTGATGGCTGCGGCATTGAATCAGAGACCTCTTTGCACTACTTAGGCCAATGCTTGGCTCTGAGTAGTCTAAGGGAAAGAATTCTTGGAGACCCCTTTGTGGATCCTGAGAAGCTTAGAACACTGAGGGTTTCTAACCTGGTGTCCTTCATCCGAGGGACAAAAAGGTTTGATTAAAGCCCAGTATCTTTTGGGGAGAGCAATGGGCCCACTTATGAGGCCCCCGCTCACCTGGGTTGTACCCATCCCCAATTACCAATACCAATACCAAAGATGCAAATTTATTATTTAAAAACAGGTTAAATCTGTATTTTTCTAGTAATGATCTAGAATCTCAATATCCTGATCTGCCACAACATAAAAACCCAGATAATTAAGATGAATCACAGAAGTTTAGTTTCAATCCAGATGTATCCAGAGTTTTTACCAAATTTAGCTAAATACAAACGAATTATTAAAGGGGCAATATTATGTGTTTCTCAGGCATACATTTAAATACTATACCATAAAGTATCTATGTCACCTTTAGCTGTTATTAAAGTGCTGTTGTTATGTTTAAATAGAAAATAAACGTATCTTCTCATCACTTCCTCTTCTAAACGCCTTGAAATTGGCCTCTGTCTCTTTAAGAACCACCTTCTGCTTCTGTCCTGCCCATTTCAGTGCTGGGGAGTGGGGGTCGCGCGTGAGCTGTGATGCAGTTTACTTGGCATCTGAAAATACATTTCCTCAAAGGTATTTTGAATCAGAAAAGAGCTTCAYTGAGTGAGCRGTAGCTTTGCTCTGTTACTGGAGTAACACTTGGCTGCAGACCGCGGCATGGGGCGGGGTCGGATGACAGGCGGGGTCGGACGTCTGACCCCGCCCTCAACTCTAAAATTAACCAACCCGAGATGCTAAATACTACAATTAACCACGCCCAATTTTTTAAGCCTCCTATTAAACTTCCCTACAAGCCATGACCACACCCAATGGACGTCCGACCCCGTCTAGTATACTAATCCGCAGTCTGCAGCAGGGGGTACTTGTGTTACTGCCGAGATCCTGCAGGAGTCATGGGCGGGGTGTGTGGGGTGGGTGGTGGGGAGGTGTGCTCCGTGATGAGGAAGTTCGGCTTAAAGACATGTCCCAGGGGCGTTTCTGGTCCCAAAAGGCGTTTCTGGTCCCCACTTGTCGTTTTACTCCTCAGCATGGCTKCCTAAAAACACTGCAGGGTCAAATGAGTCAAAGCAAGGCTTTGGGCATGTTTTTTTTATGAGAGTATAACATTATAACATGATATAAAACTCAAAAAAGTTGATTTTACATGATATTGCCCCTTTAAAGCTTTAGTCTTCTATTGTTACTAAGAGCAAGTTCATCAACATGACCTTTTTTCAACACAGCCACAGAAGACAAAACTTTAAAAAAATCTGAAATTTTTTAAAATTATAGTACAAGAACCTGAGTTAATTCTCAAATAAGGTAGAGTAAAAAAACATGAATAATAAAAACTGAAGCGTGCAAACAACTCACCACCACTGCAAAGTTTTATTTAAATATTTTTTCTCTATATTTTAACTTTTTAATGTTTTCATATGAAACCACTCCAAGTACAGCCAGAAAAAACTGCTCAGGTAGGGTTTGATAAAAAAAGAAAAGAAAAAAAAAAGGGGCTTAACCAGCTTCCAAACTCCCCAGATCCCAATCCAATTGAGCATCCTCGAGATTCACTGGAACAAGATCCATCCACACCGGCGCCCCCACCTCCCTCCTTCAGGAACCAAAGAATCTCCTGCCAATGTGCCAAACACAACAGAACTCCTCGAGAAATCCTGATGGGTCAGAGCTTGTCTGGCACGTGAACCTATGTTATATTTTGCAGATGGTTTTTACTGCTGTGGCTGATTAGTGTAAATTACAGCTTTGGTTACATCCCTCTAGGATTCAGATTATCTGTAATGCAGCCATGCCATAAATAATCTTTTTTCATTTGATATTCAGGTTTTTCAATCAACTATACTATGGAGGTTAAATTATTTACTTACATGGAAAAGATAGAAGTCACAAATAGAATAAAAGAAAATTTCAAAACAAACAGTTCAGCTTTAAAAACAAAACACTTACCTGTTTGGCGTTGTTAACACACTGCAGGTAAAGAGCTGCTATGTTGGAGCAATTCAAAGTTCTTCCAATGTTTTCTTTGTAGCAAGCAAGGATCTGGCCCTGAAGGTCTGCACACACAGGAGACACCTCATACCTCCTGCAGGGGCCAGAAAGAGAACGAACGAGTGTGAAAAGGGAAAATACAGTGTTTAAAAGGAGGGGGGAGAATGGGGGGAATGAAATGAAAAGGTTGAGTGTGTTAAAATAAATAAATAAATAAATAAATAATGTAAAGTGGAACACATAAAGCTAAGCTGTGAAGAGATTTTGATAATATGCACGGGGAGCATAAAACACGAGAATAAGGAACAGAAAAATAATGTTCGCTGAACCATAAACGTCCAGTTTTATCTCAGGAGAGGTCAGGCAGTTAGAGCCTGAGCAGTGCTGGAGACAATAATGTGTGTGCACCCACTGCCTTTATTATTATTACTGTCATTCCAGGCTGAAACACCTGAGGCAAGAATCACCACGACTGTATCTGCTGAAAGACGGGTTAAAGGTTCACAACCTGCGGTTTGCACTGCAACGTATCACCAGAGAGGCCAGAAAGTTTCCTAAAAACTACAACAACTTCTTTCCAGGTTTGGAGATGCAAATAAAAAGGTGTCTGAAAATCTAATCATTGGTTATAGCTGCCATAGTGACATTTTTTAAATAAACGGAGGAATTATTACTTTAAAAAATCTCATATTTTAGAATCCATATGTACATTATAGTCTGCTAATGTGCCTGTTCATACTTCAACTTGTCATGTGTGAGTCTTTAAAGTATCTGCTAAAAAAGCTGATGTGACTCGGAGTTTAGCATTTTTGGTGATGGATACGAAGCATTAGTGTATTTAAATGGTACATTCTGGCTGAATGTATGAAAGAGTAGGATGCTTTATCCAGCCTTGGCAGCAGGATGTCCCACCAGCACTGGTGTCTTGCACAGTGTTAACTGCTTTTGTCTGTCTCTTCACACACCCCATAAAAATCCATAATGGCTACGCATGCACATGCCTATTGGCCTATTATGCTAATGGCGGTGTCATCGTTTTGTTCACATCACTGCTCAGGACTCAGCATCTGCCTCACTAAACACGCCTTGCATTGGTGTGAAAGGCAAAGGGATTTTGCCTGCCAGCAACTCTGGACATCTCCGAGGAATATGGGGCGGTGAAGCCAGGCCCCCGTAGTCAGAATCAGATGTTTGATTTGCATCCTGGAGAGAGAAATTACCCCCTGTTGGATACAAAGTGGGGGATTGGATGCATGGGTCATTACTCAGGGTGCAATGCAGCAGGACGCTGTTGCAATGGAGAGGAGTACATATGTGCATCACCACATGGCCTTATTGGTTTGTAGTGCTGCAAGAAATCTATACAGCACTCATCAGTGCAACTTACTGACAAACCATCACAATGTAAATTATGAGAGAATTAATAATTAATGCTTTATTCACTACACAGTCTTGCGGCTGAGATGAGATATGTCCTGTCACTTAGACATTTATAAAGCAAACACTTAAAACAAAATTCGATTTTGTTCCTGGAGTTGGTCTGTACCTCAAATAATACCCAACATCTACCGCTTACAGTGCAGARTGGAACATTACAAAGCGGGAAACGCTTTGCATTTGTGGATCTATCAGTGTGGGATTCAGTCATTTGCTAGAAGCCACGACAAGGCCATTGCTCTGYGTCAGGGTGCTGAACGATGACGGCAGCGCTGGCAGGGATCGCTGCCATTCTATTCCTATGGATCCCAACGCTCATTTATTACACCGCCTATGGGCATCTACAGGGAGGAGAGGAGGCACAAACGCCCACTAATTACTTTCTTAAGCGCTCGTGTTAATGCCAGGTGCATCCTGCTGATAGAAACCACAGTGTTTATCACCAGTAATGGCCCCAAAGAGAGAAAGAGGAAAAAAAGAAAAAAGAGCGAGAGGGGTAGGCACACAGAGGAAATGAAGGTGGATAAAAGTGAAGAGCATTTCTTGATGAAGAACTAAACAGTTGTACTTCTATTTATGCTTAATCTCTGGTTCTCTCTCAGGGGAAAGGGCTGAGAACGTGGCTGAGTTAATCATAGGGACAATAACGCTGTCACACACACTGTGGCGGAATGCTGCACGCTCTATCATCTGTCATTAAGATTAACATTAAGTTCCTGCTGCCATCCRCACACAGCCGGTACAGAATGACTATAACCTCCCCTCCCTCCTCCTCAGTTTCACATTAAGTGCCCTCGTGTCATTTATTACAGTATGACTGCCGTGGTATTAAACGGCAGAGGGAGAACATGCAAAAACAGCAGACATGTCGCATTATGAAAACACCATAAAACATACAAGATTCCCTTATTTCACTTTTTATTTTTATCTCGCTCAGCATAAAAAAAACTATCAAATATAACAGTTAAATTCATCAAACCTGACTTGTTTTAAAACGTATACATTCGAGTAATCTCCAGGTAAACTCCGATTTTGACCCACAAAAAAAGGCAAAAAATATGTTTTGCAGTTTGATGCCACTAAACTGATGCACAGTTGATTCTGGCGCGGTGGGAATTGTAAGGTTTCATTATAAATATAGCCCAAAACAGCTATGAATCATCCAGTTCCCATGCAACCTGAGCAGAAAGGCATTCATACACAAGGATGCCGTATCGAATTCCCAACGCAAAAATCTTGTTCTGTTTGTGTGATGTTAGGGAAGTGATGGCCAGAGGCATGTTTAAGAATTTTGTCTCCCTGAGCTGCTCTTGTTGTTTAAATCCTGTTTTTGTTCAAGTCAATTAATTTGTTTAATTCACAGAGGATGAACGGATGCTTTTAAAAAATTGCACCTTTTAGTTTTATTATCACGTAGATGGAGTTCAACAAACGGCGAAGGGATCAAATCTTTCTCGCCTGCCAATAAGTAGACTTTCTAGACTGTCTTAAGGTGAAGGGGAGTGGGTTTTCTCATGAAAATCCCTGCAGTGTCAGACAGATTAAGTTTAAACTTTAAATGTACCTCTGAAATTTTTAAAAAATACCTGAGATTTTCCATTTTGGAGTACCTTTGTTTATCTTTTTGAGGCAATGCTTGCATATTTATTTTATTTAGGGGTGTGTTTCTGCTTTGATTTTTCACGAGCCCTTTCAACAATAATTTAACATATTTAAAATGTATTTAGAAGTAAAAAGAACCAAAAACAGCTAGCTTCAATGATAAACCACTTCCCATGTGGCCTACATATGTTTGATTTATTCCATTCAAGTTATTTCTAACATGCTATTTCACTGCAAAAAAGGCATAAATCATTGTAAAAGATCATTCCATTTCAATTTACTTTAGTCACAATGTATGTATTAGTGATTTTAAAATGGCAACTGGTAAAAAGTTGTTTCAGGAAACTGACATTGAACCGAACCTTCASTACGATTCAGTCACCTCATCCATTCTTGTATTTATTTCCATCATCTTTATTACCAGCCAGAAAATCCCTGGAGCTTCCTGGTGTATTTAATAAAACTCCATGTGGTAGGAGACACTGAAACAAATAGAGACATCCAGCTGTATACAGTTGGTTATTATTTGCACTCTGTGAGTTTAAGTGCGCATGCTGCCCCCCTCCTTTACCCCCCGAGACAGTAAATCTAAACAGTCATATAGAGGTTTCGACTCATTGCCATCAGTAGCGGTAAAGGTCTCCATAACAACTCCTCATCCAACCCAACCCCCCCCCCCCAACCGTCAACACACAAAGTCCCTGCAGCCTTGATCCACTGATAGAGGCAAGAATGAAAGGGAGGACTGAGGTTGCTTCAGATGTCTACATTACAGTTTCGCAGCTGTGCGACATAAATCACAGAGGAAGGAGAGAGTAAAAGAAGAGTGCGAATGAATGACAGCAGAGAGCAAGAGTGAAGGTATTTCTCTAAGAAAGGATGATCCATAAGAAAAACAAATGTTCGACAGAAAATCTAGTTGTTAGGAAAAGATTAGTAAAAGAAAAGTGATGGAAAACACTAAGAATGACTGCCAAATTTTTCCTTCGGAGACAAAAATTAAAAAGACCAAAATAATTCCAGTTAACACTAAGCCGAACACTTCACCTGAAAATTTCCTCTCAAGGTGCGTCTCCACTCTTGAGGTGTTCGTACATCATTTAATGTAGTCCCGTCTTTGAAGTCTCCTGCTGAACAAGTCAGCACATTTCCACGTAGGAGACATCTCCTAATGGGCACATGTCTAACGCTACACACTTAAAAAAAGCATATTGACCATGAGCTGGGGGCGTACCAAGATTGATTTTTGGATTTTCATACAATCTGCATGCGCTGTTGCAATAAAGCTTTCATTTTTCAAACCAGCATACAATGACCATGACTACCATCTGCTGTAACATCAGACAACAAAACGACATTCATAGATCTCTGTTACTGATGCAGTACGCTTCAATAGCTGAACAAAGTGTGAGACAAGTGCATTTCATTTGTCATCATTTTAGATGCTGTGAAGATAGGCAGGGGAACGCACAGAGACATGCAGGATTTAAARACAAATGCAGAGACACTTGAGGAAAGGGTGAAGGAGATGAGGTCCACTCCAGTGGATGTATTACAAAGACAGGGCAAAGCACCTCTAGTTACAGTAAGTAATGATCCTTTTTGAGACGGAATGCTCCACGCTAGGCAGTTTAGGCCTGGTTCACAGCACTGGTCGAGTGAGTCACGAAGCACAAAGAAAAAAGTTGTAGTTTTCCAAACTCAGAACATGTAATTTTTCCGCTGTCAGTCAGGGAGCTGCCAACCTGTCTGCAGTATATTTATTGCCAGCGAGGAAGATGCAACTGTCCCCGTGTTTGAAAAAAATAAAAAAATAAAAAAGCATGAGATCATGCTCTGTAAAAAAGAAGGGGACCTTGAATATGATCAGCAAAAATGCATTGCATTGTGGTGCACTTTCACTTAATAAAACTTTTTTATGCAAAATATGTCAATAAAAAAATAAAAACAAGATAAAAATCCAAAATTATATGCTTAGACTGGTTCAGCACATAAGTAAATTCAAAACAAAGTAAATGTTGTGCAGTATTTGTCGATGTCACTGAGCTGGCACAG